GACAACTTGCAAAGGAGAGAAGAGAGACGGCTGTGGTGTGCACAGGGGACAGGGGCATGAAGGAAGACTCTGTCCTCCTTCACAAAGAGAGGAGTCTCAAGCAAATCATGGCGTCCTTTGGAATAGGAACCAGGCCTCGGACTCACTCGTTGGCTCACCTCGCTGCTGCCCTTCATGGATCAGGTGGCTGCTCCTCTCTCCCTGGGGCAGGTGAAGTCTGACCCAGGCCCACCCGGCCCCGGCATTCTTCAGCTGGTCTTGCTGCCAGCATTAGCAAGTACAGAACTCTGTCTAGTTCCTGGATTTGGCAATACCCAGGTTAAGAGGAAAGATCACAACCACACCATGCAACAGCCCAGCTGTTAACAATCAACAGGGTGGCCAACAGTGACTGACCCAAGGACTCAGCCAGCCAGTGGGTCATACCAAATGAGAACCAGGGAGCTGCTGTTGAGGAAGTAAGAATGGTACAAGTCAGCTGGGATCGGTTGCTCTACATTGTTTATTCCATCTGTCTCCCAAAGAAGAGTTGAAGCAGTCCAGAATATTCAAACACATACAGAATGGGATAGACAAAATATAACCCTCGAGCGCAATCAGAAATCATTAGAAGAAAAAGAACATCCTACTAAAAAGCTAGATTAAAATAGTCACTGCATTGAGACATTATAATAGATTTTCTAGTAACTACTGCCATTTGTTTACCATTTATAGTACATTTGATACACTCCATCAAAATGTCCCAAGGAAAAATTGTGTCCATTTCGGAAAAAAATTGTGTCCACTGGGGTAGAGACAGGGACTCACACTGCCCAAATTTACTCAGCAAGTGATTGAGTCATGATTGAAACCCAAGGTCACTGGGCCCCCAAAACATGTTTTTCAGACCATCTATGTTGCCTCTAAGCTCTCAAATCCCAGAGAAAGCATGTAGAAGTTTCAAGAGAAATAAATATTTTCCCAGGGTTAAATTTTAAGGGAAATCTAAATCCTAATGCTGAGTGGCTTAGCAGACAGTATCTTCAGCTCCAGCCTCATAGGAAATGCCAGGGTGCTCTCTAAATGCCCGTCCTTCACTGGAAGCCCAAGCAAAAGCTAGTGGGTAGCCTCAAGCCTCATCTCAAGGTGGGCATTTCTATGGGGGAGGTGAGTGAGTGTTGCCCAAGAGCCATGTTTTCTGTCTAACCAAATAAAGCAACAGAACGGGAAGACACCTTACTTACATGGGGTCCCTGGATGATGTCTTTCAAACACAAGTGAAATTTTTGTAGGTATAGGTATAGGACAGCAACCAGTCAAAGAAGAAATCCTCTGAGGGACTGCCAAGTGGCATGCTGCCATGCACTTCATGAAGGATAACCCCCTCCCCAGCAGCTTGGGAGGCTGAGGCAGGAGGATCACGAGTTCAAAGCCAGCCTCAGCAATGGTGAGGTGCTAAGCAACTCGGTAAGACCCTGTCTCTAAATAAAATACAAAATAGGGCTAGGGATGTAGCTCAGTGGTCAAGTATCCCAAGTTCAATCCCCAGTACAAAAAAAAAAAAAAGAAGAAGAAGAAGAAAAGAAAAGAACTGCCATCCAGGTCCTTTCCAGTGTCTGATCTAGGATCTGTGGATGCCTTTACTGCTGGAATGATTCAGCCACCACGACTCTGGGAAGCCGGATGAATTAAGGCACTATTTAGGTGACTTGTTGCCCACTTGATCAAGAAATGAAGACAGCCAGGGTGACAGCTCCAGCTCCAGCGGCCACAGCCCTCCTGGAGTGGTCTTTAGACGCAGAGCTCAGCTCTCCAGTGCCAACAGTGCTAGGGAAGGGGGAGAGTGAGCCCAGCACACTTGCCTCCTCTGCCCTGTTTGGACTTGGCACTGGGTCTGCCCAGTAGCCACTTCTGCCTACTCTGGCCCTTGTGGAGAGACTGAGGTTGGTGCTTTCGGGAAGTGGCTCAGAGGTGCTGAGACTGGATGGTGAGCCTGTGGGTACAGACCCTCACCACGGAGGAAGGCAGGGACGTGCAGAGAGACATGCACCAGAGAGCCCCAGGAACATATCGTGGGCCTAGGCAGCCACTCCCTCATTGGCTGCCTCCTACCTACAGCATCAGCAAACAGTGTTTGTAATGGTGATCAGGCTGTGCACAGTTTTGACCCTAACCCATCACTGCCCAGCTCTCCATTCACATGTCCACCAGCACTGCGTGAAAGTTCCTGGTTTCCCAAGTCCTGCCAACATTGGGGCTTGGGGGGCATTCTGCTTTTGGCCAATGTGACATCTTGGAAGGGTGGAACCGAGGTTATTTTATCTCTATTTCCTTGGCTAGTGAACCGGAGAGTTTTGCACTTGGTTGTTGGACATGTACTTTCCCCTTTCCTTCCTCCACCTCCCCTTTGCCTATTGTCGGCCTTTTACATTTTGATTTGTCTTAACTTTTATATATTCTTCATACTAAGCCCTTATCTTTTTTGTTTATGCTTCAAATATCTGCTCCCAGGGTAACATGTGTCTTTTAGTTTTGTTTATGATGTTTTGGGTCCTTCAGGTGTTTTTACTTTTGTGTAGTCAAAATTACTGACTTTCTCCTTCCTAATTTGTGCTCCTCAAATCTCATTTAAGAAATCTTTCCCTATCCTGAGGTTGAAAAGACATTTTCCTATATTTGGTCTAAGGTTGCAAAGTTTCATTTTTTTAAAAAAAATAATGATCAGGTCTTTAATCATGACCTAGAGTTTATTTTGATGAATAATCTGAGAAAGAACCTAAGCTGCTTATGACAGGCAGTTTGGGATCGTGAACTGGGACTTTTCTGCTATTTATTAGCAGAGTAACCTTGAGCTCATTTATCTAGCTTCTTCATGCTTCAGTTTCCTCATATGTAAAATGAGGACAATAATCTTATCCATTTGATAAGGAGAATTACATTCAGGCCTTAAAATGCTTAGAATAGTGCGGGTTTCTACGGTCAGTACTCAATAGATGGCTGTTAACATTTTTGAGCACAAGTTGTTTTTTTTTTTAATTTGTTCTAATTACTTATACATTACAGTAGAATGCATTTCAATGCATCATACATAAATGAAGTATAACTTCTCATTCTTCTGGGTGTACATGATGTAGAGTTTCACTGGTTGTGTAATCATATACACACATAGGGCAATAATGATTCATTCTGCTATCCTTCCTACCCCCTTAAGCACAAGGGTTTTTTTTTTTAGTTTTAGGTGGACACAATATCTTTATTTCATTTTTATGTGGTGCTGAGAGTCGAACTCAGAGCCTCATGCATGCTAGGCGAGCGCGCTACCACTTGAGCCACATCCCCAGCCCTTAAGCACAAATTTTAATGAAGTCAGGATTACTAGAACTTATGTGGCAAAGTCTAACATCCCTGAAAAACTGAAAAATTGTCAGAAGACTATGAAGAGAATCAAAGCACCCTCCTAGTCACCAGTAGGAGTGTGTGTGCCCAAACCACCGAGAAGCAATTGGAGAGCAGCTGTTTTAGTACATTTACTATCTTAACAATGCGATTTCACACCATGCGCTGCATTGAGAATATAATCACCAAATGAATGAAGTTTCTGCCTGAGTGAGTAGAAACTTGATGGTACACAAATAGTCACAGTCACATGGTCAACATCAGGCTGCACAAGGCTTGTCACCCTCTATGCTACTGACATTTGGAGCTGAATGCATCCACGTTTCTGCATCTGTAGATTCAACCAACTGTGGATGGAAAATATTTTTCTAAATGTGTCTGTAACTGAACATGTACAGACTTCTTCTTTTGTTGTTATTCCCCCAAACAGCACCTTATAACAACTACTTACCCAGCATTTGCATCGTATTAGATATTGTGAGTAATCCAGAGATGACTAAAAGCACATGGGAGAATGCACATGGGTTATATACAAGTACTTCGCCAACTTATATAAGGGACTTGAGCATCCTTAGATGTCCCAGCACCAATTCTCCCTGGACCTGAAGGGATGATTGTAATCGTAAGCCATGGGGGCTCTTCTGGAGGGGTAGGGGCACCGGGGATTGAACTCGGGGGCACTCAGCCACTGAGCCACATCTCCAGCCCTATTTTGTATTTTATTTAGAGACAGGGCTTCACTGAGTTGCTTAGCACCTTGCTTTTGCTGAGGCTGGCTTTGAACTGGCAATCCTCCTGCCTCAGCCTCCAGAGCCGTTGGGCTTTTTAGGATGTTAGCAGCTTCCCTGTCCTACCACTGGCTACCATAATACTGTTTTTTCCTCACTGTGACAACAAAGAGTGTCCCCTGACATTGTCAAGTGTCCTGTTCTGGGGGGGGGGGGAAATGGCCCCTGTTTGAAACTGCTGAACTAGAAGGCAGGTCAGCTGCCAAAGCCCCATCAAAGAGAAACAGCCTGACAGTACCAAGAGGCCGCGGAATCCTGGGGAGGACTCGGGGCTCATTTGCCCTCAAAAGATGAGCTGGAGCACCCGGTGAAGACATCTGGGGCTCTGTGACACTCCAGGTGGAGGGAAAGTCCAGGAGTAGACTCAGAGGCCCAGGGAGGCATGACATGGTCCATGCGCCTGGGACGGTGGCTCTTGGTGAAATAGCTCAGCTCAGGAAGAACAACAAGCTTTTTTAGAAAAGCATTTTCACTTAAATAAAATTAATTGAATTGTTAATTGCCTGAACCTTCACACACAGGCTATTTTGTTTGGGTTTTGAGACAAAATGCTTGCTATTTCTAGTGCTCAAGGCTGAGAAACAGGCCCTGGTGCAGGGAAGGGCCTGGCCTTCTAAAGACCGGCTCAGCCCAGAGGCTCTCTGACCTTCTCACCAACCACGGTGAGGAGGGAACGACCTTCCAGGGCACTCTCCATCCTGCTTTATGCCTTGTCCAACCTTGGCTTCTGAGTTCGGGGTCCTATTGTCCAGTGTCTGGTTTACCCAGGGCTCAAACGCCTGCCGGGTGTTTGGTCCTGGAGCTTAAAGAGGGAGATTGCGACTATGTAACCCAAGTAAGTGGCTTTTGGAAAATCTCTCTGCAGTTGCTGTAAAGCGTAGCTCTTATGGGCTGCTGGAGTTGACTCTGAGGGATCTGCCATCTCTGGAATCGACAGTTCTCGCTCCTAAAGCCCTGAGGAGGGTAGGAGATGGTCTCTGCTAACACTCTGTCAGCTTCTAGGTAGAGGGACTATGAATGAAAAGACACCAGGCCTGTGGGAAGCAGGTGGAGGAACCTAGGTTGAGGGAGAGGATGGTCGACGCTGCTCCTGTGTTAGGATGAAGCCCTAAGGGTCTTAGCTACCAGTGGACCTGGGCACTAAGGCCCAGCCCAAAACCTTTGCTGATCTCCAGCCAAAGTACTGCAGAAGTTATTTTCTTGAGCTCTGAGTGAACACCTCAACCCTGTGGT